CCAGGGTTACTGATGAGGGGTGGAATGCCTCGAAACCGGTATAACTCAGTGGAAATTGGTAAACCTAATGATAGGTTGGGCTTCACATATATTTTTTGGCACTTTAAACGACTTGTTTGGCTGAATAATTTACAAGAATAAATTAGAAGCATCACTGCAGCATATTCTTCAAATTCTTATATAAATATAGAATTACTGTGTGAGAAAGACATTTCCAAACATCATACATGTAATAGGCATAATATTTGTGCTAAAACCCACATTCGACTGCAGATTTCGTGTTCTTGTCCAGGGCTACTGATGAGTCGAATGATATTTTGAGTTTCACATGTATTTTTTAGTACCTTAGGTCTATTACTGTGAATTGTTTTCTTTTTTACTTATAAATAGCAAGCTCATAGGTTCCATTGCTTCGTGAGCTTTTGGGCTTATAACAGGTCTTAACGTCCAATTCACAACAGCAAAATTAACAACCTTGATAAGTATTGACATTCCATTTACTAAATAAGACGCAATTTAAAAATAAATACCTCAGTAGTATATGGTAGCGATCGTAACTGATTGATTAGTGAAAAGTAAAAACTCGTTCCTGTTGAACAATATTTTGTAGATGAGTGAATATTTGTGTCTGGAGAAGAGGGCGCTTCAATTTTTCTGTATTACGGAAGAGCATGTTTAATTTGGCAGTCAAACATACAAAAACTTGCCAAACGCAACAGTGTGGATACACAAGTTTTAGTGTATCCACGTAATATATTATCTTATCTATCCATTTTTGTGTTCTCTTGTTTGCCTCCGAGGTTAATTCCTTTCACGTCTAGCTAACTGTACAAATATGCGCAGTTCAAATGTGTTTACCAGCTTGGGATGCTAGCTCACTCAGTATATTACTAGAGAAACAAATGAGCTGTATATTTATATAACTTTGTGCCGCAATTTGCTTAGATGATGACTTTTATTTCTTAATGCACATAGTGACCTCATAAACTTGTTGGTTTAGAAACTGTATCTCAGAGTTAGCCAATGAAACGACTTCTTGCGATATACTGCACGCCAACTATAGACGCCAGTCTAGCATCCACCAGCACGCCCTTGATCTGCCAACTAGTTTACAAACAGTTTATCTAACGAACTTAAAGATACGAAACATCGACCAGCTTAATGTTCTGAACAGCCGTCACGCCCTTCAACAACGTGTACAGGCATTTAGGTCACCAGAAATAAGAACAAAAAAGTTTATGTAGAACATTATTCTGTTAATAAATCTGCATTGTATTTCATAAAATTGAAATATTTTTTTAATTTTGCTGCTTATGGAATCCGTAATTTTACTTGTGAACCCCCCCCCCCCCCAAGAAAACTAGAAAGAAGAAAAGCTTTTAACTCGCAGAAACAGTATATTTGTAAACTTGATTTATATAGATTAGTCTGTTATGGTTGTTTCCTTTGCGACAATTCAAAATTCGCGCAGTCCTCTTAAGGAGGTTTTAGACATTATTTTTTTTTGCTGAACCCCTCAGAACTATGACAGTGGTGTATTATTTCTCAGCTTCTTCGCTACATGTATGTATAGATCATTAAATGGTTAAACACTATGTGAACGATTAAAAATTACTCATAAAAGCTGATAAAATATTTTAAATTGATTTTCATCTTGACGTCACAGAACGCTGTCGCAGAAGTTAAGAAAATAGTTCAAGATTTTCTGGCATTCATGTTGTGAAATTAAGTTAATCGTAAATAGAAATAACGACGCCTCAACCTAATTAACAAGGATAAAATTGATTACATTAAAGTTTTAACTTTGCTTTTAGAACGAATATAATGTTAATTGAAATTTAACAGGGGCATATTTCAAGCTAAACTGACAGATATTTGCACTGTAATGTACTATGATATGTCTTAGATTTTCACTAAACTGGCTTGTTGAAAACTAAACACAAGAGTTATATATATGTAAGACTTAAGCTATTTTGTTTGATTTAGCTATAAATGGATAGTCGTTGTTTATTTCAGACGCTCTGCACCATGTATAAATATAAGATAGTCATAGGGATAGATAATAAAATATCCTCTTATAATCATGCATCAAATTGGTTATTCATAACTGATTGATAACTAAAGGGTGACACAAGATTAAAACGAAGCTGCGGCTAACAAGAGCATAAGCCTGCTAATCGTCAAATGTGTCATATGATTTAAACGAAGCTGTGGTTAAGGTGAATGTAACTAGTTAGTTGTTAAAGTTTGACTCTTGATTTAATCGATGCTTTGGCTAAGGTGAAAGAAAACCTGGCTAATTGGTATATTGTGAAGCATAATTTAAACGAAGTTGTTGCTAAGGTGAATGTAACTTGGCCAGTTTTTAAAGTGTGACATAGACAGTGGAATGACTATAACAAGTTTAGCTGTACGAAAACTTGTAGAAAAAAACAACACCAGAGGGATTAAGCTATGAGTGATGTACTTGACAAACTTAATTATAGAAGAAAATTAATGAACTAACTCAATGAAAATAATGAAATAAAACATATAAAAGATGGAGGAAAAACAAAACTAGCACTTATGAAAAATAGACATAGCTTCTTAATTATGGAAGAGTTACATTTTCAAAATGCTAGGGTTAAAAATGATCTTTATGATTTAATTGTAATGCAATGCATAAATGCCCATAATCAAGAGTTTTGATCATTCAAGCAAGTGACAATACTATATAATAGCTAATTTTACTACCTATTGTTATCGAGTAACTCGTAACGTTTCGCCTACCGGGATCATCCTACAGCATTGTAGCAATTACGAGTAAGTGGATTACTACTATTTCCCTTAGAATGTGTTACAAAATTTCTATTTTAACAACATTACCAATGTAATACTTCTTTGTGTGTGTGCCTGTATAATTTCAATTAAACACATTTACATTAAAGCTGGTTTGTTCTTATTTCCTGTATTACGCTCAAGTAAAATAATGTAAAGTCAGTACAATAACATTATCATATATGAATTATTTAATTAATCATGGTTTTAACACGAACATGCTTATAACGGATCCATAAAGTGTAAAAAAGTGCATTATTGTATTGAAACAGTGTTTATAAAAATTATTTATGAACTGAAGCGTTGAAAGATGAACATAATAAAGAAACGTTATAACCATATAAGCAGAGCAAGAACATATATAGGGTTGTTTTGAATTTCGTGCAAAGCTACACGAGAGCAATCTGCGCTAGCCGTCCATAATTTAGCTGCGTTAAACTAGAGAGTAGGCAGCTAGTCAACACCACCCATCGTCAACTCTTGGGCTACTCTTTTACCAACGAATAGTGGGATTGACTGTCACATTATAACACCCCCAAGGCTGAAAGGGCGAGCATGTTCGAGGGCAGGAATTCCAACCCACATTTTTAGGTTGATGCTTCTAAAAATTGTGTGTTTGAGTATCAATGAAAATGTTTAGTTTTTGTATACACTAAAACATGTGCAGAGTGTGTTTTTGAAAACGTTTAACATGTTTTCCGTTGATTTCTAAAACAGGTTGTTATTTCAACACAAGTCACAGTAGATGGCCCTCTGTTGGCAGTTTCTGACAACATGTTTGTACACAACAACTCGAAACACGGCAGAAGAGCCAAAAGACTGGACCCAACAGAAGGTAAGCAAATATTTTCTTTTCCGAAAGGTTTAGTTAGGAGCTTTAACAGACACGTAGTCACCACCATATACCCTATCAATTGTTAACAAACAGTAACTAACTTCCATATACTAACTTAACCTGTATTACTGATAACGCGGATCTTCTGAAACTAAACCTTCGTTTAAGCATTGAAATGTCACTCTTCGGTGCTTAAAGGTTTACTACATCCGTCAATGAACTTAATTCCCTTGTTTACATTACTTCCTAAGTGAAATATAATCTATACAATTTTTACTTGTTTAATCTAGTTAATTAGTTGTCGTTTTTTTTTACCATATTATATTGAGGGTTGAGTACTTTATATTAAAACTATTTAGAATATGCAAACCAGCCGATATGAAGTCGCTGTGGAATGGGTTGTTTGTTTGAAGTTAAGCACAAAGATACACAATGGGCTATCTGTGCTCTGCCCTCCACGGGCATCGAAACTTCTAGCGTTGGTAGTCCGGAGACATATCGCTGTGTCACTGGGGGACGTGGAATGACATTTATCAGAACTGCATGTTGACATTACTTGGCGTTGTGTAGATACAATGATGTTAACAAATACTGGTCACTTTTGGGAAGAGTAATAACAGCCTTTTCCGACGCAAACTATTCATACACTCAACTCATAACTATATGTTATACGTTATACGTTATACTTAATGACATTTGAAAACAAAAGAATATTGATAACTTGGGGCACCTAGACCCAGCCATGGTAAGCAAGATGCAGCGTCTTGTAATAGATGAGAGTCCACAAACATAAAGATCAGTAGCAAAGATTGTCTACGTACCTCAGGCAACAGTATGCAACATAATAAAGAAGCATATTTGTTTGGAATAGTGGCATAAGTCACGAGTATACAATATCAGTCGTCGCATATCTCAAGCAGATGGAAAATTGAACGAGTATTCATGCTATTCCACAAGATGATATACTGGTCAAGTCGCCAGATGGAGTGCCTATGGATTTCTGTATGATCAGACAGTTGGAATAGGTCTAGATAACTATTGTCCTGGTACAATAGATGGGAGGAGGGACGTGTTTTTGACATGGCATCCTTACGATGGAACTTTTGCAGGGAAACGTACGTTGTAGGGCTCTTGTCAAGATGCACGGTTGTCACATAGAGCACGACCGGACGTAACGACATAAACTTTAACGACGTGGTGAATTTCCCTGTAGAACCAAGCTACATAATGAACGAATGAAATACGGGTATCATGTAAGCGATCAACAACTTTGAATTTTCTTAAAAGCTTATGATAAAAAAGCTAGACAGATACAATTATAATATAGAAAACTCGATTGATAAGTTTTCGCTGAGTGAACATGACCTCGTGGAGTTATCAGATCTGTTTGTGCCAATGAACTCTACAGAAAACTCGATCATGATCTGTAGACTTCAGTGTCCTGTTTGATACTAGCTAAGCACAACCTCGATGATTTCTCAGATCTTTCTGTAACATTTAAATCTGTTGAAAACTCGTGCACATTCATTGCACTTTAGTGATAAGTTTTCAGTGACTGAGCACGAAATCGGTGACTACTTAAATCTTTATGACAAAGAATTCTGCAGGAAACTGTGTTTGCTCTGAGGGGTTGAAGAACGAGTTGTCACTGACTGAGTAAAAGCTCAGTGACTTATCGGATCTTTCTTTGGCAGTAAATTATGCAGTAAACTCATGCATGCGACGAGTTATCAATGGCCAAACATGACCTCGAACATTTTCCAGATCTTTCTGTAACAATAAATTCTATAGGAAATTAGTGCATGTGGCCAGTTGTCACTGGCCAAACACGACCTCAGTGACTTCTCATATCTTTCTGTGACAATGAATTCTGCAGGAAACTCGTGCATACTCTACAGACTTGAGTGACGAGTTAGTTCTAAGCTTTATAAAACCTTCAGTACTACTTGCCGTCGGTATTTTGGCCTGGGGCAATTCCTTTGGGATTTCGTACATTGATTGGAAGATACTTTAGCTCAGACCCCGCTGTACCACATCCAAACACACTTATTGACCGTTATCCACTCCCATTGGCCGCTAGTGGCCGCTGTTCCTGTGCTATAGGGTTCCAGTCACTTCAATTTATACCTCAATAATGTCACAATTTAAAAGGCTCCTGTTTTTGTGGTCTTTATCAGGACGCGCGTGTCACAAGACTTCCGCCATTTCCTGGTTGAGATTCTATTGAATTTGTTGGTTTGGTCATGTCACGAAACATCCCGTGTGTATCACAGTAATGAGAGAAAAGGGCGTTTTTATAACGTGCAATATACAGTTTTATTTCGGAGCTCGTTGCAATGCGTTTTCTTTTGCTCTGTTTAAAAATGCAGAGGGGTGGAAAAAAGCAGAAAAACGTTTGTAGTTCTTTGATAAAGTTTTCACGGTAGCAATTGTTTATATCTAACTAATTATAAGTATCGTAATTTTTAAACACATTTCAGAATGTTATGTTTTGTACATTTTATGCACGATAATGAAAACTAGCGTTTCGTTGTTACAATGTGATAATCATATTTTTCTTCAGTGATTGAGCGGTAAGTCTGAAGTCTTATAACCCTGGAAATTGGGTTTCGACATCGACTGTGGCCAGAGCACAGATAGTTCATTGTGTCGCTTTGCGCTTGACAACAAGCAAAAAATCCTCCGAAACGGGATTTTTATTTTTATGTTGTTATTAAAAAAAAGGGCTAACGTCTGAGTGAATAAAAACATATATGATTTAGTAGCATTCATATAAGATTTTTTACTGATTTCAAACTTCTTTATAATTATTTTATAATGCATACAAAAAAAAAACAACAGCAAACCTAGTATAAGAGAACCATCGCCTATTCAAACGTTTATTATGGAAAACTAAAAGATGCATAATACCTTCTAGGTTCATCTTAAAGATTGTGCAAGCGTGTAATATTGTAGAAATAATCACAACAAGTACTGCTAACAAGAGTTAGCAAACGTTTTGCATAGAATATTATTTTGGTTGGTTTACATTATTAGGCATAAAAGTCAAATATTTAGTATATTTTAAATTGTTGATCTAAAATACTTTTTATTTTAGAAAATATTGTGAATGATAGTTATTCCTTGAGTATAATAAAAAATACTTAAACATTTTTCAGTTCTGTTTACAGCAACACCATGTATTAAAGCCATCTGTCCCAGTGAAGGTTGGACGACAGGGGGCAGCACAGTTATAATCATTGGAGATAATTTTTTCGACGGTCTTCAGGTTCTGTTCGGTACTATGTTAGTGTGGAGTGAAGTAAGTTTAAACTAATAAGTATGATGTGCTATTGTTTATTGAAAGGTGACCGTGTTTGTTTAAGATTAGTTGGCATTGAAAACTAAAATATCAAACAAATGAATATTTCAGTTTTGAATATCACTAAAATGTATATCAAAGCACAATAGAAGTTTATACTAAATAAAATAAACCAATCTTTCATTTTGAACTCTGATTCAGACTCATATAAAACTCCATAAAACAAACAAAATTACATTATAGTATTTTGAACATTTACAAATCAATTATTATTCAGGTGAGAAATTGATTTGTTTCCTGGTTAAACTTGACATGTAGAATTTAGATAAAGATGAGTATGCCAGCCAAGATGTTTATTGTTATCGTTATTATTATTATTGTAGAGTTTAGATACATATCAGAGTGCCAGCCAAGATGTTTATTGTTATCATTATTATTATTGTAGAATTTAGATAAAGATGAGTATGCCAGCCAAAATGTTTGTTGTTATCATTATTATTATTGTAGAATTTAGATAAAGATGAGTATGCCAGCCAAGATGTTTATTGTTATCATTATTATTATTGTAGAGTTTACTCCGTATGATAGAAGGTGTTACATAAACAACTGTTCATTAGAATTGAATGTGTTTTGAAAGAAACGTTTAAGGTAAATTTAATTGTTATATTCATCATTTCTACCGGCGTTTTATCTGTAAATATTCAGTAATGTTCAACAACACGTTTTAGTAATTGATTCACAACAGTACTAATATTTCAACTGAAATAAGCGAATTTGAAAACCTTGCATGATTCTCCAGAGAGAGAATTTTACGAAAGTTAGCTTTACTTACAGATCAAAAAATAAAAATGTTGCCATCATTATAGCTTAAACAGTAAAAGAAAAATAAAAACAATTTTTACCAAATAGGTTTGTTAGATACAAAGGATTTACATAAATAATGTTGAAGACATTTTAAGAACTAACATAGTTTTGCATTTACACTAAATGTTTTAAATGAATGAGATCAAAGTCATTATTCTTGCTAAACCATAAATAAGATCAACTTTATTCATGAATACATAATTATTTATGCTAAACGATACGTTTGAACATAAGATGTTTCCTGCTCTATAGCTAGTTTCTCTATGATTTTCAGTAACTATACTTTTCAATCCTCTTATTAGTTTTGAAAATCATGTTAACTTTATTTTCACAGGAGGCATCAACAACCTTTGAATGTGATACAGATACTGCTCATTTTCTACAATATTAACTTAAAGGAAAGATTCACTGCTGAGTACACATTTTAATAAAAGCTACTTTATAAAAACCGTTTACAAATTCCACCGTAATTATTCATCTAATGTGTTATTTGACTCCAAAAATGATGTACAATGACGTTTTAGTTTCAAGTATATTGTTTCTGTCATTAAATTTATTTTATACAGCGAAATTTTCATTTTAATTTCCAAAAGTTAACGCGAAAAAATTTCATCCCGTCTACAACACATAAATATACACATTTTGTGTTCTGCAGTTTAAATAGTTCTTTTTTTCTTTGAAACTTTATCGTAGATATATTTTACGAAGTCTCAAGAATTATTAATGAAATATTTTTTTGCCTCCACATGAAACTACCAAAGGAATCCTAAATACTCACATAAAAGTGTATGATAGACAGATAGAAATAAAACATTTTAATGCATGGGGTAGTGAATCTCAACTATGTAATGTACTGCTCTCTTAAAATATTAATCTGCTTTTCCAATAGTTGATTACATCACATGCTATCCGAGTCCAGACACCCCCACGTCATATTCCTGGTGTTGTGGAAGTCACTTTGTCGTACAAATCTAAGCAGTTTTGTAAAGGAGCACCTGGAAGATTTGTCTACGTTTGTAAGTATCTTATTTTCTGCTTTGGAATATAGAAGGATTAATGTTTTCTGCTCAACGTGCTACAGCAGAGACTTCTTGTTTCCTTTCTCACCTTTCTTTTATCTTTATTATTTCATCTAGGTTTAAAGTTTCGGTTCATTCGGTTTTCCATCAACATTTCACACTATTCCCCTTTCTCCTTTTTTTTCACCTTTATCTTTCCTTTCGTAGTTTATTTCGGAAATCTCTCATACTTAATATTCATCCTCGTTTTCCACTTTATTCACCCTCACTTTCATCTTTATACCTACCTTTTCTACGTTAGTTTATTATTCCACATTCCTTTGCTACTCCCAAATTTATCCTCTTTCTTATTATTTAAATTTAACTTTTTACTCTATATTTCTGTATTTTATGATGCTTTGTGGCAGTCTATACAAAGCTAACTCCTCTTTATTTATTATTCTCTGTTTATTATTTATTTCTCTTTACTTTCCTTTAAAACGCTCAGATTTATACCTTAACATCTAGTTATTCTGAAATTTGTAAGAATGTTTTTCATTTTCATTTTATTTCATATTTTCTATATTAATCTTATTCACGTGTTAGCCTTTATTGTCCTTACTAATATTTTATTATTTCTTAAATCTATATATAAAACTCAAAATTTCTCTGTTTGTTTGTTTGCTTGACTGTTTGTCCGCCGCGTTCACTGCACAGGTCACACTTCCCTTACGTAAAGTTGCGCAAAACAACAATTTTTCGTTGATATACGAGTTTATAGTCTGCTAGCTGAACCGGTAATTTTGTCGTTAACATATACATTACACGAATATATTCTACACAAACTTGACATTTTCTGGTATGTTTGAGTTAACGTTTAATTTAGAATATAGCATTATAGGCCTATATAGTTATAAATTATTGAATATATATATCTACTAATACATTATATATTTAACCTCACATACAAAAGAAATGTATACAGAATTAGAATTTCGTATGTGAAAAAGCAAACAGTAGGCCTAGCCTATATAATCAAATTATGCCATCTACCATAATATAGACTACGTGAAAAGAGTAAGGCTTAAATTATAATACTATGTACATTAAGATTAAAGTCAAGTCAGCATAACTGGTAGAACGCTTGCATGATGTGGAAGATGGGTTGAACCTAGAAATTGTATTTTTTTTATTACGATTAGAATAGACAGTCTTATTTAGTTATACATTACTAATTATACATCTACTAATACATCCTATATTTAACCTCACATACAAAAGAAATGTATGCATAATTAGAATGTTGTGTGTGAAAAAGCAAACAGTAGGCCTAGTCTATATAATCAAATTATGCTGTCTACCATAAAATACACTACGTGAAAAGTCAGCGAATGTATTTTATTCTACTTTTTTTTCTCCGGGTGGTTCAATACCTGTAAGTGGATTTTTTTTCTTTCAATACATTATAAAGTAAAATATTGCATTTTGTTTGTAGTTTATTTCATACATCAATGTCATAATGTGAATACGGTATCACAATCATAAAAATATATTAAATTTACATTAAAGCGAATTAAACATAATATTACATACATATTTATGTTTAAAATTTTAATATTTGAAGAGGGATGACGGGGGATGGGGGGGAACAGAGCTAGGCTTGTCCTGTTCATCAGAACGGGTACTCATACATGTATAACATAATCTAAATATTCTCCATAAGGGCCTATTTATCCTTACCAGTGAAGGAAAAACAACAACAACAACAAAAAAACATCGTTTACAAAAAAGCCCTGATTTATAACAGATTCGTAGTTTATTTTCAAAAATCGAACCTAAGGTTGTTCTTGTTTCTTTCATAAATTCACAAAATATTTTTTACTTATCGAAATATGGAACGGGGAAACAGAGAGAGAGCAAGCCGGGCAACACTACTGGTCTTCTATATTTTTTATTGTAATTAACTTTTATTTTTCTCCAGCTCTGAATGAACCTACAATTGATTATGGTTTCCAACGTTTGGCGAAACTCATCCCTAGACACCCCGGTGATCCAGAAAAACTTCCCAAGGTAAGGATATTAAGCCGAAACTGCAGAAAATAACGAATTCTTGCTTCACCTATCAACCATAAAAAGCTGACTTTTCTAAATATTTGGGTGTCATCTTGATATTAAGATGGGTGTAGTCTCGTGGTTAACGTAATTCCAGTTTTTTCAAGTTCACCCCACATATGTTCAATTGGATTGACATCTGTGGATTGAGGTGGCCATGGGAGATGCCTGAAGTCTCCGTCATGTTTCTCAAATCATGTACGTAAAATTTGTGCAAGGTGGATGGAAGCAGTGTTGTACTGGAGGAAGACGCCACTATCAGTGTACACAAGAAGCACTCCTGGATGCACTTGATCAGACATTATATTGCGGTAAGCTGTGGTATTCATTCTGCCTTTTAAAGCGACCAATGAATCCAAAGAGATATGTCCCATACCATAACTCCACTACCAGAGGCCTTGACAGTTGGGAGAGAGGTCGAGTGATCCGATTGCTTTCTCCAAATCTGTTTTTTTTTTCATCACTACAATAAAAAAAAGTTTTGCGTTACTCTTAGGGCCCAATCTCTTTTCGCCAATCTTCAGTAGTCCAATGTCTGCACTCCTTACACCACTCAAAGGGTTTTGTTTTATTGGTAACCGAGACCAGTAGTTTACGCAATGGTCTCCTACTGCCGTAGTCTATTCGTTGAACCTTTCTTCGCAAGATACGGTTAGGGATGGGTGTGGATTACCTTGCATTTAATATCTCTGTCAGTTGGTCTATTGTTTGGTTACTGTTTAACGTTACCATCCTGTCTAACTGCATTTCCCTCTTTCTCTCACTAGTGTTTGCAGCCACAATTCCCCCTCGCAGCAAACGTTTTATTCACATTTTGCCATTGTTGATAAACTTGAATGACCGATGTTTTGGAGTAGCCTACCAACAAAACTGCACTGGTCCCTACGACACCTGCTAGACGTTCACCCTCTATCATGCCTCTTTTGAAGGCTGCTCTGTCGTTTCCTTTCCTTTTCCCATATCTGCAAATGAGCTTATCCTAGTCACTTATCGTGCTGCAAGGATCAACTGACACATCATGTGATCAACCTAATTTGCATCTCCAGCTCAAGTAAGACCCAAGTCTGAAAGAATACCTAGGTTCTAATAAAGTGGCCAGCCAGTGAATGTCAAGTTTTCTGGGGGAAGACTATATAATCTTAGTGTCACTCTTAAATCTAAACAAAGCAAATAATTTTGTTATTTAAGTATGTGTGTGAGTGTCACTTTTGTTATTATTTGGGGAAATTACTTCATAAAAAAAATGCTAAGAATATGTTAGTTAAAGTTGGCTCTGTAAATTGCAACATGACCATCAAAGTGTAAGTTTTGTGTGGTTATATTAATAATCGGCAAACATTATTGAAACTTAACACACTTTGTTTTGCCAGGAGATCATATTAAAGAGAGCAGCGGACCTAGCAGAAGCCCTGTATAGCATGCCGAGGAACAACCAGCTAGCACTTCCAGCGCCACGATCCCCAGCTCTAAACAATACCACAGCGATGTCAGGCTTCAATGCATACACTGGTCAGTTGGCTGTAAACGTCCAAGAAAATGGTACAGGTAAGAGAAAAATAATTTACAATGAAATGAAATTATTGATATTAGCTAGTAACGAGAACGGTCGTTTTCTTGAAGCTAACTTATGAACTTGCTGCTACTCGACTCATAACGATATTTCATCAATAAAATTATAGAACCTATCTTCTGGTTGCCCAGCATTCTGAAAAACAAGCTTCGTGAAACATTAATAGCAAACAAAACAAAAGTGAAGCTGGATGAAATTAGTTGTAATTTGATATTTTTGGTGATATTGTATAAATGTATTAAAAATATTTCAAAACCTGCAATTCACTACTTGAACTGAGTAGCTCGAAAGCTTAGCTTACTTTACATTGTATATATGTGTGTATTTATAGATATTTGCAGACCGATCTATTTATCTCTTCAGGATGTATACATGAGTTTATTTTTATCATTTTGAAACTCAAAAGAATTATTTTGTTTAAATGAATATTTGAAAGTGAGTGGTATACTTGAAAATGACAGAGTATTAAAACTTATTAGTTTATACCGATTTTAGTGTATTTAGTTGAAACAAATAGGAGCTTCAAAGCATCTGTAAAAGTTTTCTTACACAGTTTCATTATTGCATGAATATTATTTAAACGGCATAATACTTTCCAGAGTGTACTTAAAGACGTTTACAAACAACTTTTCATTTAAAGTTAATAAATAAAAGGGATGGATAGTAATAATTTCGGTTCACACTACGCTTTAATAAATAAAAGGGATGTATAGTAATCATTTCGGTTCATACTACGCTTTAATAAATAAAAGGGATGGATAGTAAAAATTTCGGTTCACACTACGCTTCTTTCAACTACGATTAACCTATCACTGATTTTTTTACCACAGAAATAGTTTGAAAAACTTTTAATAAAGATGATAAAAATAACTGAGTGAATCTTTATCATCAATGAAAAACTAATCCTAAATAATAGATTCACATGGCCATCACCTCAATAAAGGCAAAGTTTTTTGGCGATTAATACAATTGTTCTTAATTTCTTAATATGTTTGAAAAATGTTTGAAATAAGTACTAATTCTTGCGAGCTCTGATATTTATTTATTTTTCTCTATGAATATAAATATTATTTGTCAAATTTCATTAGTTCTTGAACGTGTTTCGAAAAATAATTTTTGTACGAGTAAGTTAAATAATTATAGTAGTTAAAGGAAGTTCATTAATTACAGTAGTTAAAGGAAGTTAATTAATTGCAGTAGTTAAAGGAAGTTCATTAATTACAATAGTTAAAGGAAGTTAATTAATTACAGTAGTTAAAGGAAGTTCATTAATTACAATAGTTAAAGGAAGTTAATTGATTACAATAATTAAAGGAAGTTCATTAATTACAATAGTTAAAGGAAGTTAATTGATTACAATAGTTAAAGGAAGCTTAGCTAACAGCAGTAGTATCAAGGAGTTCACCAGTTGATCAAGCAGAGATTTCAACTCATGTTTTAAGGTTTCACCACGAAACTTGTTACAAGAGTAACACAGATCACTTGAAGATCACGGTAATTTTGAACTGATTTTGAGATTGCTACTGCTTTTGTAGTGTTTATGTTACATCCAAAGATTATAGCTTATATTTCATCCCCACATTTCTCCTCTAGAGTATGGACGAGTCCAGAGCAATAGTGTATCCCCCAGAGGATACGGATCGAACACATCGACCCCCCATAGCACAAACGGAGCGACTTACGGGGCGGCGACCATGAATGGAGGTTATGGAGGGCCAGGAAACCTTGGGAATATGGCGGTACCAGGTTCTCCAGGTCTTTTTAATGGTAAGAAGAGATATCCTTATTTAGATTTGCTTTGAGAGTTGCTCAACAATGCTTAATACACCATTTTAGTTAAAAGTATATAACAGTAGTAATTGTCGTTCTAAAGCAATGCTATTACCACTTCAAATAAACATGGGCAAATAAGTACTAATTGTAATCCGAAAATAATATCAGCACAACTTCAGTTAAACGTTAACAAAATAGTAGTAGTTGTCATTCTAAAGCAACGGTAGCAACCTTTTTAGTTAAACATGGACAAACAGTAGTAGTTGTTATTCTAAAGCAACGCTCACACCACTCTTTATTAAACCTGGACAAAACAGAAGTAGTTACCATTCTAAAGCAACGCTCACACCACTCTTATTGAACATGGACAAACAGTGGGGTTGCTTTAGAATGACAACTAGCTAGCACCACTTTAGTTAATCATGGACAAACCAGTACTATTTGTCATTCTTTAACAACGCCAGCACTACTATAGTTAAACATGAACAAAACAGTATTAGTTGTCATTCTTTAACAACGCTAGCACCACTATAGTTAAACATGAACAAAACAGTATTAGTTGTCATTCTTTAACAACGCTAGCACCACTATAGTTAAACATGACAAAACAGTATTAGTTGTCATTCTTTAACAACGCTAGCACCACTATAGTTAAACATGAACAAAACAGTATTTGTTGTCATTCTAAAGCAACGCTAACACCACCTTAGTTAATCATGGACAAAACAGTATTAGTTGTCATTCTTTAACAACGCTATCACCACTATATTTAAACATAGACAAACAGTAGTAGTTGTCACTATATCGCAACGCTAGTAACACTTTTGTTGAATATGGACAAAACACACTATTTGTCATTCTAAAACAAGAGGGCTATCTCGCTAGCCGTCCCTAATTTAGCAGTGATATACTAGAGTGACGGCAGCTAGTCAACACCACCCACCGCCAACTCTTAAGCTACTCTTTTACCAACGTATAATGGGATTGACCGTCACTGTATAACGCCCCTACAGCTGAAATGGCGAGTATTTTCGGTTACGGAAATTCTAACCCGTGATCTGCAGATTGCGAGTCGAGCATCCTAACCACTAGGCCATGCGAAGTAAAAATATTCAAATTCATAGATATGATTTTCTGTATACTTTTTTAATTTATTGTAAAGATAGTCTAAAACTATAATTTTTCTTACTTAAAGAGTAACTTCAGTTAAGTTACTCCAAATTGTATGAAATTAACATTCTTAATGATTAGTCATAGTTTTGACTGAACACATTAAAAGTTCTGTTCATGCATACCGTTGACTTAAATGCGAAACCTTTTTAATAGTTATTGTTAACTTTAACACGTTAAGTGCAATGTTATCTTAATGCATAATGTTAACTTAAAATGTTAATTAAAAATTATTTATACATCATGCTGACTTACGATAACGGAAATTTCTTTATATATATTATCGACTTAAACATATTAATGCAAGGTTAATTTTTCACATATTGTTGGCTTAAATATATTAAATTCAATTTCGTTTTGTGCATATTGTTGACTTAAACACAGAGTTTTTGTATACATATTTTTGTTTATTGTAACACGCTAAATGGGAAGTTATATGTGAGAATATTGTAGTTTCCATGTAGAACTTTCTATGTCTGCAAAACCTCTAGTCGTATGGATGTATTTCTTGAAAAATATATTGACTGTTTTTCTCTCTCTGATTTAGTTTAGGGAAAACAAGTTTGACAGTCTGCAAAACCTCTAGTCGTATGGATGTATTTCTTGAAAAATATATTGACTGCTTTTCTCTCTCTGATTTAGTTTAGGGGAAAACAAGTTTGACAGTAAACATTCGAAAGTCAGTAATAATAATATAATAAAAATTGAAGTTAAATATTTATAAGGCTAAATATATTTTACAATGGAAAACAGGATTTCAAAACAACAAGAGACTTAACTAGTATGTTTAATTAATGGTAAAGCCTCTTTGGAAAGCGGATCTTCTGTGTGAGATTTAAACAAATTCCAATAAAATAACTCACTTGGAGGTTTAGGAACATACTTTAAAATGTCTGACTTTACAGACCAGAATAAATAACTGTATATTACACCACTTCTGTTTGAAACCATTAGTTTTCTCATTACATATGTATGAAGAGTATGAGCACCCATGATATACAAGTATCTGGTTGTTTTTCACGCTTTTTGTCTTCTATCTTATTTCTGTTTTGCATATTTAATAAAGGATATTTTAAAATATGAACGTAACCCACAAACTGAAGTTAGGCTGCTATAATTACATTTAGATGTAGTGTGTAAATCTCGTTTGTAATATATCTGTACATAAAGTTATAACAAACAAAACCGCTCTATTTAGTCAGACAGTGGGTTAATTGTCTGTACAGCATGACACTTGTTTGTTTTGATATATTTTGTTAAAACCATCTAAGTTATTTAAACAAAACTTGGTCTGACATATCGTCCCTGTATTGTCGGCCCAGTACCGTGTTTTACCGGTGGTGGAGGATCGGGAACTTCTTCACAAGCCCTGTTCTCCGGAAGCCTGGCCATGGGCAACAGGCTGTCAGATGTCCGACAAGAGGGTGCCTTTGCCCTGGTCTCTTCCTCGTCTTGCAGCAGTACTGTGTTTGGGTCTTGCCCCGGGAGGGGGGTTGCAGCTACCTTTCCCTGCAGAAAAGGTGTGTGCATCACCCCCTTTTATCAACCGATTAGATAATACAAACCAGTCGTATTAGATTTTTCATTTATAAATGTGTGAGATCTTATAAAACTTGCATACGTATTTGGTCGAAAAGCTAGAAAAATAGATTCGTGCCCTGCGCCAGTCATCCCAATCGTAACGTTATAGTCACGTCACTTACACTGTGTGTGCAAACATAAATAGGTAAATAGATATAATTTTAGCAACAAACAAACTTTATTTTCTAATTATCTTTTATATAATTTAAATATAACTCGGTAACTAGATCCGTTGATTTTCCTAAATGTTTAGACGCAGCCCTTGATAGAAAAGTTTTACATGTAATCTTTTGCGACTTTCGCCCACTTGGTTTCAGTCTTTACCTTCTAATTTTCTTAAACGCCGTTCATTTCATGCTGAAGTACACTACTAAACAGTTAATTAAACTTAAATTCATTGGGCTTATCATATTTATGCCATTCCTCAACATTAACAATGTTTGCTAAACACTACAGAAAAATAGATTAGAATGAAATAAACTTCTTTGGTGAAAGTTATTGTTTTCCTGGTTTGTTGGAGATATTTAGTCCTATTTGTTATTAAATAAACTGCAGTTTTCAATAATCCGAACTATTTACGAGAGTAAACCATACCTAAAACAATACATTCCATTGTTGAAGATGGTCAATAATCTCGGCTTTTTAAATCAAAAGCCAAGCTAATTAATTAAGCCACAACTGACCTATTTGTAGGAAAAGATTGTTAATCCATATGTAGTGTATGTGTAATCTGTGTCATTGTTTGCATACAGATAAACGAGTTTAATTTATTATAGCTACATTTGTTTTCGTGATGTTTTTCCATAATTTTATATACTTCATTTAACATGTTCAGTATCTTGTCCATTGACATCTTCTACACGTTAAATTACATTACACCGCAGCAAGTGTCTAATAACTAAGTAATAAGACCGTCATTATGAAGATGCTATCTGAGAAGTTAACTAGTAGTCTTCAGAATGCATGCTTACTTGTTTCATTATCATTCTCTAACTTATGAATAAAATGTAAAGATATCATTGATGTTAAAATATTTTTCAATAAATGTCAAAATGGCCAACAATTGTCGATAGAAGCTCGATAATAGAAGTTTCTGGTGACTGTGTAACTATAAAATAGTGTATCTACGGAGAGTTGTAACTAAATAAAATAGGTACATCAAATCACATTGTTAAGCTACACAAGGTTACACACGGTGGAGCTGAACTTATTTACATCGTTTAAGTACATAATATTACAATGTGTAACCGAATAAAGTTACATTGCGTAGCTACATAAAACTATATAGTGCAACTACGTCAAGTTACATTGTTGAACTACATTATATTAGACAGTGTAATTGAACCAGGTTGCATTGTGTAACTACGCAAAGCTGCATTCTATTACTGCATAATATTCTACAATTAGGGTAGCTATATTTGGCTAGATATATATATATATATATATATATATATATATGATTTACGCCTCTCCTGTCTGATATTTGGACCTCTTAAATTTTGTGATTTCGAATGTTTCAATCACCAAGTTTGATCAACCTTTTATTTTACCCGTCGTCCCTCAAGTAGTTAACGTTAATTTACTGTTCAACAATACAAATTTTAAGAGAACTGAAGCGTGACAGATTAGGTAGGATTGATTACTTTATATACTAAGTTGTCAGTGGTTCGTCTCCGTTTGATTAAACAAACAGACGGCACTGAATGCAGTTCTTTGCAAGACACAGCGCTACTGCGGTGTAGTTCATAACTTAGTGATTAGAATGTGAGCCCTTGCTTAAACAGCTAAAATGTTACACATGTTTGTTTATCTTACCTCGAAGCTACCGTTTGTGTTATCTTAAACAACGAAGAAATCACTTTCTCTTGTTATGAAGGTACTTTAAGATTAATAGTATTAGTTACTACTCTAAAGCCACCACTTAAACCAACAACGAACAATTCACTTTTCCCTTGTTATGAAAGTACTTTAAGATTAATAGTATTAGTTACTACTCTAAAGCCACAATATAAACAACGAACAATTCACTTTTCCCTTGTTATGAAAGTACTTTAAGATTAATTGTATTAGTTACTACTCTAAAACCACCATATAAACAACGAACAATTCCTTTTTCCCTTGTTATGAAAGTACTTTAAGATTAATTGTATTAGTTACTACTCTAAAACCAACCATATAAACAACGAACAATTCCTTTTCCCTTGTTATGAAAGTACTTTAAGATTAATTGTATTAGTTACTACTCTAAAACCACCATATAAACAACGAACAATTCTTTTTCCCTTGTTATGAAAGTACTTTAAGATTAATTGTATTAGTTACTACTCTAAAACCACCATATAAACAACGAACAATTCACTTTTCCCTTTTTATGAAAGTACTTTAAGATTAATAGTATTAGTTACTACTCTAAAGCCACCACTTAAACCAACAACGAACAATTCACTTTTCCCTTGTTATGAAAGTACTTTAAGATTAATTGTATTAGTTACTACTCTAAAACCACCATATAAACAACGAACAATTCACTTTTCCATTATTATGAAATTACAGTATATTTTAAGATTAATGGTATTGATCACTACTCTAAAGCCACCACTAAAACAACCAACAATGAGCTTTTTCCTTTGTTATGGAAACTATGTGATTACATGTAATATTGTTTGCATTTCTTTATCAATATTGGATATAGCTCAGTATTTAGTTTATTTACCAGCGTTATTGTCATCTGATAACGTTCTTAATCCTCTTATGAGTACCACATTATATTAAAAAAGCTCAAAAGGTCAAAAAATAAGTATTCAACATTGATTTAATCAAAATTATTTCTTCCTGTTACTTTTAATACTGCGATATTCCATGAATAATCCATTATAAAGTACAACACTTGTTACGAATGTTGTGCCAAAACTTCAACCGGCTGTTACAAATAAATTTGTGACAGCCACAATACAAAGCCTGATTTCTGGTTTGGGAAAATGCTACAATAGCCTCCTCGCAAAGGTTATTTATCTGATCTCCTTTATACTATAATTTAATGATCTTGGGTTAATTTTCATTAATATTAAATCTGTTTCGTCATTTCTTTAGACTTTTTATTTGTAGTTTCAGCTGTTTCTACCTCAATATAACGATAAAAATATAAATTATTAGTTTTGACAAATATATCTGTGAGAAAGCTCCCACAGTTGTTATAACCTATACTGAGTCTAACACCAATATCTAATCCATTAGTTTGACTTGACGAGACAACGGGTATACACAGCTTCCTATACAAGACCAACGCATATTTGTCGAAACCAATAAATAAACCATAATAAATCTGACAGTTGGAGACTTGAAAGCCTCAAAGACAGTATTACAGTTACAATAGTACCTACAGCATCTCAAAGACAGTACACCTTGTCACCGCATAATGACAGCCTGTGCATGTATTAAGGGTGTTTATAATTATGCTTTCCTTCGTGAAATCTGTGTAATCCATGATAAATCAAATTATTTTTAAACTTAGGTTAAATTTAACTCGTGAATTCTTTTTGGACGAGATAAAATTGTATATTTTTAGAACTTTAATTAGTATCTTTCATTTTCTTAGAGTGGCGAAAGGTAAAAACTTACTTTTTTTGTATTTCAGGAATGGGCGGGATTGTATCTTCACCTTTTGCAGCCATGAATCCTTTTGCTCTGCCAACTTGCAACGGTCAGTCCTACGGCAGCTCAATCGTTTCTTCAGCCAAATGACCAGAATGGTATACGCACATCCCTGCTCCTCAGGTCGCCGAGGTTAACTTCGCACACTAGTGACTGAAGAGAATGGCTAAGCCTAACTAACAAACCTCAGATTTTTGACACCAAAGATTTTATCTGAATCAACTTTGTTCTTTTTGTTATTTTGTGATTGTGTTTTGATCTCAGCTTTTTAGGCGTTTGCGCCTTATTTAATCCTGTGGAGAACTTCTAGGGTTGTGCGCATTCCAGCAGCTATATGGAACAGTGGAATGTCAAGCTGTAAACCATCAAAAAGGGTAAATTGATCCTTAAAACTTCAAGACTATGTATTCCTTGACCAAGAAAGAAAGATATGGTTTGTCCTTATGAGATGTTGTTTTGTGTCATGCTCGTGACAAATATATATATAGTAAAACGTTTTGTGACCGAAGAATTGTGTAACATACGATGAAACAGTTATTGAAATAATTATTCTTTACCGATTGTATTAAAGGAACTTGTGAGAAGCTGTTTTCACAGCAGAAGAGGTCAAGGTCAAATTCAAAAGAAATCCTCCTTCTTTTCCTTTCTAATTGGTTGAAACGTGTAGGTAACGTTTGAAATATAAATGTTACCTATATATTTTCGTGCTCAATTGTTGTTATATTTATGGCGTATTTAGAGTAATGGTTATGGCTATTTGATGTTACCTGTTGCCATGATTAATTTTTTATGTATTTCATTATGGTAGTATGAATTCTGCATGGCAAATATCATTAGTTATGCTCATATATATGAGGGTTCTTTTTCTAGTCCTGTAAAAAAAGAATGCTTCAACTATTTCAGAACAGTAATTACATAAAACATGACACGGTAAAAAGAATAAATAACTTTTTCAGGTACCGTTTTCAAAACGAAGTCCTTTAGTGGGTAAGCAGTAGATTAACGCACTTGCATAACTAAAATTCGGGGTTCGATTTCCTGCCGTGAACATAGCGCAGATTGTCCGATGTGTATCTATGCGCTCATAAAACAATATCAAAAACAAATCTAGTATATATATCACATTTGAATTTATACTTATCAAATTTTGTGAAACAGAAAAAGGCTCAATGATTTTTAACGTTTTTCTTAGATTGATTTTTTTTTTACATAAAATACGCTCTATAAAGAAATCGTTTTTTTCTGATAATGTTTCATATTGATTTTTGAACGGACCACAAATCACACAAAGTGAAATGTATTTTTCTTATTCTTCGAACATTGACTCAACAAAAGTTAATATTGAAGACTATGCTTCACCTGACACAACCAAAAACTGGCCGTGATCCATGGAATTGTAGTGACACTTCAGTGGCACTCATTGGTTTAAGGGATATATTTACCTCACCTCTTACGTGCCATTTGTAAAGAAATTTACCATTCGTATTCATGTAAATAATAAAGAAAGCGTAAACACTCATTTTGTGATCTTATTGTAAAATGTTCTGTGTAAAGATTGTATTAATTTATTGTATGTTCTCTGGGAGTGTCAAAAGTGTTACTTAATTTTCTGGGTGGAATTTACAAACAAGTTTCTTTATTTGTATTCCTCAATAATGTCATATTTCAACGACTAATTCGCCAAAGTCAATACATTGTTTTTTTCTCTACAGTTAACCCTAATGATTATTTAAGCCTGCTATTCACTTCTTGTGGCTCAGTTTTGTACTTTCTCTTGTAGTCGTGCAATAAAGTGTCCATCTTGTAAAGAAAAGATTAGAGGTTTTTACATATTGAAGGATAAGTGACGTAAATACATAAACGGAAAAATATATTCATTGATCTAACTGCGTTTTGCACATAAACAATTATGTTCTTTCTTGAAATGTAAATAAACCGTTTTTAAAATTCAGCTTAAGAAAACTATAATGACTTTGTATTGTGTTCAGTGTTCCTGATTCTTCATCTCTTTGGTAAAAAAAATTAAGCTTTTACTTATTTTAAATTTTCTTCGCCATAGTTATAAATAAGTTTCTAATTTTATATAAGATAAATGCAAACGATTGGTTATTCCACCATATTTTTAAATATAGTTATCTGTAAGTTTTTAAAATATTCATTGTATAGAAAAAAGTTCAAAATGCTTCTCTTTAGTTATTATGTTCTCTATCAGGTGCTGTTTGTTGAAAAATCCAAGTTAAGAAAATACTTTAATATGACAATTTAAACACTAATTGATGACGAGGCTTTTTTACAAGTGAAAAAGTACATAAGGTCAGTTGATGAAGTAACACTAAAATATTAAGTACTGTCAGAATACCTTTTGTCTACAAAAAACATTTTATATGTGATTAAAAATAACATAGTATTTCCAAAAATGATTTAAACCCGGGAAAACAACAAGTAGGAAAAATACTTGTTTTTTCTTAAAAGAAGAGTCAATGGATGATTTGATGATTCACACACACCTGTTTGATATACATGTTGTTTTTTATTTTGTCATAAGAATCGTTTTGTTTCAACTAAAAAGTATTTAATAATGATTATTTTCGTATGCCTTTCCAAGTTTCACTAAAACTTGTGCGTGACAAAATGTAACAATAAAAACATGTCCGCGTGCTTAAAAACAAGAATAAATTGACAATTAATGATTTATAAGTATAACCAATTATAAACTGTCAGTTTACTATTATATTAGTATGGTGTGCTTCCTTACACAAATATATTTGTATCAGCCTACATAGAGTCAAATCACAAAACATTCTACCAAAATCTCTAAAGACATTTCAACAATATTGAGCACTTACTGTGCACGAAAGAAGACAATGTGCACAAGTCTAACATAATATGCATAGTGTAATCAAATATACGGTAGTACACACCAATCAGTTGTACTTTTATGTGTATGTAAAAACCACTCAGAGCAACCAGTGATACTTTCTTCACGATATACATATGTACGTTATATGGTATACAAAATGCTTCACATCAGTTTCTTATGCCTTACTCACGACGTATAGTAATGCACGATAATCAGCTACATATTGTACATGATGTACAATATGCTCACTAAATAATGATATTGAATAATAAGTATCAATCAATTATGCATCTACTTGATGTATATAAAAATCAGCTGTTTTAACCACATGACATACAACATTCATGCTATACATTCAGCAATACACAGTAATCAAAACACTTAGTAGTTGATATGTAACAATTGGTTACAATCAACCGTAGTTGTTAAGTGATACATAGTAGTCGTAATAGTTTGTACATGATGCAACACGTGAACTATGTAGATGCTCTTTATCTAGGCTCTAACTATCAGCTATATTTGCTACTTCATAGAGAACAATTAACTATAGTGTCTGTCAAAGAGAAAAGTAATGGATCACAACTTTTATTTTATTTTTAGGTTAGGTTTGGCGCTTTTATGTAGTTAACTATATACAATAATACAAATGATGTGTTATTGTTATTTAACATCAAACTGAGATTGTTAAAGGACGATATTCTTTTTTAGTTATTCCGTGTGTGTGTGTGGTTGTGCAATATGTTTACATGTTTGTGTAATACTGGCTTTTAATATAATTCAAGGAAGCAGGGAACAAACTTATAGAAAAATGGCGTAACAATGGACGCTACAATAAACTCGAGTTTCTAAGATTTTATGCGATTACCAAAAAAAAAGTAATAAAAAATAAAGCCAAAAATGATGGGAGAAATAAAAAGAAGATGTAAGCCTTTAGAAACTCAAACTATCCTCAGGGATTTCAGCAGAGATGCCAGATCCGATGTTGATTAGGTGAACGAGGTTCGACTGAAGACGTTTTACAGATTCGAGTTTTGTGTAACATCATTCTATAATGCCCAGTAACAGTCCATTAAGTGTTTGATTCCTAAACTCAAACTCCAGCAAGAAGTTCATTGGCTTAGAATACTGTTCAGTTTAGTGGCAATAAACATAGCCTTTCAATTTTTTTTTGGAATCATCGTTTTTAAAATTTAAAACTACAATTGGACGGACGCAGTAGAACTAAAATATTCTATACTTAAAAGTGTGTTGCAGTTAAAAAAAATGAAAAGGTAGAGAGCTCACAGTGCCGACTAATAGCACCATAACAAAATATAAACAAAAAGGTAGAGAGCCCACAGTGCCGACTAATTGCACCATAACAAAACTATAAACGAAAAGGTAGATAGCCCACAGTGCCGACTAATAACACCATAACAAAACTATAAACAAAAAGGTAGATAGCTCACAGTGCCGACTAATAGCACCATAACAAAACTATAAACGAAAAGGTAGAGAGCCCACAGTGCCGACTAATAGCACCATAACAAAACTATAAACAAAAAGGTAGATAGCCCACAGTGCCGACTAATAGCACCATAACAAAATATAAACAAAAAGGTAGAGAGCCCACAGTGCCGACTAATAACACCATAACAAAACTATAAACGAAAAGGTAGAGAGCCCACAGTGCCGACTAATAGCACCATAACAAAATATACCCGAAGCCCTTTTTAGTATTACAATAACTTTGATTAAATACTCCAGGTAAGAATAAATAATAGATTGAAACTAATAGGCAAAGTACAAAGCACGAGTTGGATATTTCTACGTAAATAATAACATATTTTTCTCATTTTCTTACTATAAGTGACGTCTACAAAATTTTTATTAAAGAAAGAGGTGGTTTAAAAAAGCTGTAAGAGAAAGAAACATTTTCTTTGGACAAAGTGTCAAAATTCAACATACATCCTCGAAATATATTTACTACAAGTTTGAAACTGACGAGAAAGAAGATAATATGTTATGAAATTTTGGTGGTTATCACTATGAAAACATTACCAAAATAACACTTAGATGTCTTATTGTTTGTGGTGGTGATGGCGTTTTTTGTTTGTTTTTTTAGCCTATTGCGTAACGCTTCAGTGTTGTTGTGTTGTTGTTGTTTTTGTTACATTTCTAATTTTTCAATAAGAATAAATAAAATTTGTGAGGGAGGCTATTTTGTAAGCTATTCTATTAACAGTGAGGTTAATTAACTAATAAGAAACTTGAAATCAATAGACTAATTCAAAGTTGCTTTTTTTTCTTGAGCTCATTCAATAATTATAAAATTGATGCAATACATGAACACACACCAAAAGTTTACACGAGCCATATAACTTTAAAATACAACTTTGATGTTTTCCTGTTTTGTATTGGTATTCATGAGTTTTCTTCGTAAAAATACCAGAAATGTTTTACACTTTACGAATACACTTGAACTCTAAAAGTTAAAAATTACAGGTTTTTTCGTTATTCGTCCAAGCTTATGTTATTTAATATATTCACTCAAATTTAAATAATATATACTTTTCTTAACCTTATCTCTGGGAATTCTCTCAAAGCCCTCTTACAATTTTATTATTATTATCTAAAGAATTAATTAAATAAAGAAATAACTTCAAGTATTTTAAACTTCAACATGAACAGATTTTGGAATATTAGCTCAGCAAGTCGAGGAAAATACTGAGAAAATCTTTTTGTAATACCCGAGAGAGTCTAATAATTTTTTTCAAGTGTTTCGATCAAATAAAAAACATACAAGCTAGAAGACTCTTTTGCTTGTAAACACCAGGCTAAAATCATATAAATATTCTCGACCAATTTTTATACACATGACTTATTCTTGCATTTGTTAAGGACTTTCTGTACTCCTGAATACATATTATAATATTTGCGGACACAGTCTCTATTAAACAGGTCTGTTTTTTTTTTCCTTAGCCTTTCCAACGACATCTTCTCTTTGTTCCTAGCCAGGTCTACTATAAGATAACACTTTTAAGAAGAGCCCTAGCTCCTCTAAGAGCCCGGAAAATATTGTAGTTTCCAAAAGAACTCGCAGGCGAGATTTCGATACAATGTAATTTTTTTTTCTACTAACATCGATGTTGCCAACGTTTTTGCATTGGATTTTCATTTAAAATTAAATTAGCCCCTGCCCTTCTCGTGTACATTCTTTTCACTGAGTCAGTCTATAAAACGAGCTAGTGTAGCAAAACGTTAGAGTAAAATCAATATCTTGTCGGTCTATCTATTGGAACCTCTCAACAAGCCTCTCTACAGCTCTTTGAGCTCGGGTGCGGTAGACTTACAGCACCGAGCAGAGTCAAAGCTAATGGCATTACCGAATAAGGATGGGTGGGAGCAGCTGTTTCCGATATGGCGCTGTCTAAACAGGGCAGATCGAGGTTATAACACGTTTACAACTAAAGAGAAAAAAAAAGGAACCAGCTATTCTGCAGCTATGCCATCAATAAGCCAAAGGCTATTAGGGTTAAGCGCACATTTGAATGGCGCGAAGAGACTCGTGAGATGTTACTAATCAAACCCATTTATAACTTACTGTTGGTTTAAAGATCAAAAGCATTTTTTAAGAATCTTTTATTTAAGTTATGCAAATTATAATTCAAGTTGTGTGATGTTATTAATTACTACACATTTATTTTAACGATATCATGACCCGCTATTCTAATTTTATGTAGAATTGTTATTTTACTGTTTTATGTTAACAAAATATTAAGTATATATTTTATGTTAAAAATATATAAATATATATATAAATTACACAATACATAAAGAAAGGTAAGTCTAAGAAGTGTTTCTCTTCTTCTGTGTGATATTTTAAAATACTTTTTCAGACGTCAAAGCCAAAAATCAAAAACGTCTCACATTGAAAATGTGAAAAAGGTGAAAAATACAGACTGGGAAGGAAAAAAAAACTTACGTTGGTAAGAGAGATAGATATCTACAGAAATAGAACCTACACAAAAATTTGATTAAACCCTGGCTACCAGATTTCACCTTCGTTTGAAAGCTTCACATCTGAGCACTAACTTTTTATTTGCCGTGAA